ATTTCTACTTGTAAATCAGGAAAAGTTGGTCTTGGCTTCCAGATTCCCACTTGCAGCAACCCTGCATAATCCATCTCTGTTCTTTACCATAGGATTCCAGTTCTTTAGTATTTTTTTCCTTGTTAAGTTTTCTCTTAGAAAAGATAGAATATCTTAACCTTATACAGTGAATTTAACCTCTTTGTTTATATTAAAGTGCTCCCATTTATGGACATTTGCTTCTTCTCTCTCTTTTTAAAACTGTGTTATTGAAATATACTATATATGTGGTGCTGCAAACTGAATCATGTACCCTCAAAACTTATATGATGAAGCCTTAACCCCCCAATGTCATAAGGGTGGGGCCTCATTCCAATATGACCAGTATCCTTATAAGAAGATTAAAAGACGCCAGAGATGGGCATGCACAGAGAAAAGGCCATGTGAGGATAGAGAGGGAAGACAGCCGTCTGCAAGCCAAGGACAAAAGCCTCTGTAGAACATTGGTGGCACCTTGATTTTGAACTTCCAGCTTCCAGAAGTCTAAAGAAAATAAATTTCAGTTTTTTAAGCTACCCAGTCTGTGGTATTTTTGTTACAGTAGCCAAAAAGAGCCATAGATATGGAGAAATGCACAAACCTTACGTGTACAGCTTGATAGATGTTTACATATTTATAAACTTACGAAATCACTACAGATTAAGAAATGGAACATTTCAAGCACCCCAGGAAGCTCTCTTATACCCCTTCCAACTCACTTTAGCAACTGTGATGGTATTTTCAGATCTGTCTGCCTGCAGAGAGGGTTTGCTCAGGCTTCCCCTCTGTTATATGGAAGAGTTCCACCTCCACAGGTGCCTCCCACGCCAGCGTCTGGCAGAGTGAGTCGATTCCAGCAGTCAGGGTTTGCTGGGTAGTTGACTCAAGATCAAAAACCACATTCTTCAAGCTGTTTCACAAATGATAAATATGACATTATAATTTGTATCTGATTTCTGTGTCTATTTCTCAGTTGTTTTTGAATTGGGGAGGGAATTAGCTCTTTAAAACCTAACATCATTGGGCTTGGCCAAGCCTAAGTTTGGAATTTTTTAAAAATACCTTATTGTTTTTATAATGAAATGTTTCCAACATTAAAAATACACATATTAATATATTAATATGATGAACTTCCTACCTGACATATATAAATTGTTTCAATTTATTAAAATCAGGTAGTAGATTCATTACATATATATACACACACATCTAAAAAAAACTTAATTTAAACTACTGTAGTAAATCACAGAGATTCTTAAAGTTTAAAGCTTTTGGGTTTTGCAAACAGACTGGCTCTAACAGAATCAAATAAAAAATATAACACAATACAAAACTCTTTTCATTGCCAATCCTATTTTTATCTACTATATTTCTCACCGTGTTGCATATCATCTGTTAACCTAATGAAATGTCCCAAGGCTCAAACTGGTGAATTTACAAACTTTCACTACCTTTGATATGCGATTGAGAATCCCATCTTGATTTCAATTAGACTTCTGATAAAGGAGTGAAGGCAGATGGAAGTTTAAACAGATTTGGGACTGGCCTGCATGACTAATGCCATTTGTCTTAATTCCCAGGCTCCAGACAGAAAAGGTCTTGGAATCTATTTTCTTACCTTATACTCCAATTATACATATAGGAGAAGCAGGTGTTAAGCCAGACCTTAAAGATAGGGAAGTTGCACCAAATGGTTACACAATATCTGAACAGACTTAAAAGGGGAAGAGCAGCATAAACTCTTCAAAGAATTGCAGAATGAGTTCAGAGGTGACAAAGTTACTACTGGTGGATGGTCAGTATGAAGAGTACTGTGTTCTGAGGGAACATGCTGAAAAAATGAGAAAATTAGGACTTGAATGGAAGGCACAAATTGAACCATATTAAAGGTAAACCAGGCAGAAGATTGCACTCAGGACAGAATTTATTATTTTGGTGGGATTATCCATTCTAGGATGGTGAGGGTAAACTATGGATAATTTAAACATAAAGAATTCATTGACTTCTTAGACTTAACCCAGAGATCTAAAGTGCATGTTTGAAAAACAAATGGTCTGGCCTTCTGGGAAGAGAGAGAGAGGGAGAAAGAATGATTGTAATTGAGGGATCAAGAAAATGAAAATGAAATTGGTCACTGAAAGCTTGTAAATGATGAGAGCCCTAGATGAGGTAGAGAAGAAAAGAGATCAACTTAACAAACAGTTCAAACTGTTAAAAGGTGCATGCCTAGTTTACCCTGTGTGATCATCTATTAACTCTTTGGACTTACCAATGCGAATGAGAGACCACATGCATTTCGGTAATAAAAAGCACCAGGCCACAGCTGCTGAAGAAGCTCGAAACCCATCCTAGTATCTGAGTGAGAGGCTCTGCCAGGACTCAGCAGTAATTGTAGAGGATTAAGTACGAACTTTAATTTCTTTGAAAAATTAATTCACAAGGGGAAGATTTTATGGGTCAACTTGAATTGTCTAAGGCAGCGGTCCCCAACCTTTTTGGCACCAGGGACCAGTGTGCTCCTATGAGAATCTAATGCCTGATGAGATGGAGCTGAGGCAGTGATGCTAACACTGGGGAGCAGTTACAGATACAGATGAAGCTTCATTCACTGGCCCACCACTCACCTCCTGCTGTGCGGCCCGGTTCCTAACAGACCATTAAGTAGTAACAGTCCGCAGCCGGGGGTGTTGAGGACCCCTGGTCTGAGTATGTCTGTGGAGGTATCTCAAGAAGAGATTAACTTTTGAATCGTAGACTGAGTAAAGATCACTCTCACCAATAATGTTGAAACTCATCCAATGTGTTGAGCACCTAAATAGAACAAAGAGATGGAGGAAGAGTAAATTTGCTCTTGGCTTGAGCTGAGACAGCCATCTTCCCCTGCCCTCAGACATCAGCACTCCTGATTCCCGGGCTTTCGAACTCAAGTCTGGATTTTTACCATTGGCCCCATGATTCTCAGGCTTTTGAATTTGTCCTGAATTATACCAGCAGCTTTCCTGGTTCTCCAGCTTGCAGATAGCAGACTGTACGACTTCTTGGACTCCAAAACCACATGAGCCAATTCCTATAATAAAGTCCTAAATAAAAGTCTCTATATATCCTATTGATTTCATTTCTCTGGAGAATCCTAACTAATGCATGGTCTGAACTCAGAGTGGATACTCTTAACTTACAATACACTGGAACTTTAGTAAAATTAATTTGGCTCTGAACTTTCTAGACAATAAAACTTTTCTTATCACTTCTTTTTCTCCTTTTCCTTTTTTATGTTAGGATATATTAGAGAAAAATGAATAATTTAATGATCTTTTAGGACGACTTGCAAAAGTACACTCTAAAAAGTTTCCCCAATTTTACTTGCCACTAGTAGTATATAAAGCGTGCACTTTTAATACACCTTGCCAAAATAGGCTGCTATACTTTTTACATTTTATTTCAGTCATAATAGGCTATTTCAGTCTCAGTGACTTACAACAACTTATATGCTCAATCACATATCTTTTGTGGGCTAGGTAGGCGATCTGCTCTGTGTCATCCTCTCTCTGGAATCTCACCCTGGAGGACCTTACATTAACAACGAAACATTCTGGCCCAGAAGTGAAAAATATCACTTACGTTCATAATCCCATTAGCCATAACTAGTGACATGGCTTCATCCAATCATGAATTGCCTAGGAAATGCAAATCTACCATAGACTAATAAGAAAGAGGGTTAGAAAATATTTTGTGATCAGCACTAGAATTGTTATACATTTTCAAATATTTCATAGCTAGAAAATGACAACTTGCCTTATTTTGCATTTATATTACGAGAGGTTGAGAAATTTTCCCCTTTGTGAATTGTTTGCTCATGCCCCTTTTGTCTTATATATTAAAATAGGTATATAATAAAGTTAGTTGAAGAATTTAAGGTGTTCTCAAGTTATTAGTAAGGATTTGCAATTGCCCCTCACTCCTCAAGAAGTTCCATACAAGGAAATATTCTGGATGGCAATGATCATCTGATTTGCGATATACTATAAGCCAGGGGTCCCCAAACCCCCAGGCCACAGACCGGTACTGGTACCAGTACCTGTTAGGAACCAGGCCGCACAGCAAGAAGTGAGTGACAGGCAAGCTAGCAAAGTTTCATCTGTATTTTCAGCCTCTCTCTAGTGCTAGCATTACTACCTCAGCTCCATTTCAGATAATCAGGTGTTGGATTCTCACAGGAACAGCTGTTCTTGTTGTGAAAAAAGGTTGGGGACCGCTGCTATAAGCTACACATATAGAATTGTTTCAACAGAGGCACTGACTATTAACAATGCTTGGTAATCTATGATGATTCATATTCACACCAATATAAAAATTAAAATATATTTCCCATTCATTTGGGCCACCTCCCTGCTCTCTGAGGCATTTGGATGAGAACCTTGATTGAAGTCAATAGGGACAGTGATATAAGTGAGGTTGATACTAGAAGAAGGAAAAGAAGCCAATTATGGAAGTGGGACAAGTTAGAGGAGTCATTCGAGAAAAATGAGAGGATCAGTTAGTAAGAATACCAAGAGGGAGCATTGTCATCACACGCAAAATGGCAGATAGTATTAATTAGAGGGAGATGGTCAAACAATGCTACATTCTCAATGACACCTGGTAGGCTGAGTGAAAGCAATTTGTTAGTTTTGTCAATTAGAAAATCACCGATGGCATACAATAATACAAGTAGTTTCATTCTTGTGATTAGACAGAAATCTATAATGGACAGAGAAAGTAAGGGAGTCTTTTTCTTTTTTTCTTTTCTTTTTTAAGTCGTTTGTTTAATGGAGTGATAGCCACACGAAGTTTATGGGATGGTTACTTTTTCATTATACAATAAAAAAGTGTTTATTGACCAACTGGGAAGGAGTTCAAGAGATGCTGAAAATAGAGCAAAGAGACAGAAACAACTGATGGAGTCTGAATCTAACCATTTGAGAGTGAACAATTTTTTTTTTTTTTTAAATATAGAATACTTCGTGAATTTGTGTGTCATCTTTGCGCAGGGCCCATGCTAATCTTCTGTGTGTCGTTACAATTATAGTATATGTGCTGCTGAAACAAGCAGAATGAAATTTTAACCACATCTAGATATGTGAGTTTTGAGACTTGCTAGTTGTGACATAAATGTCCCATAAGTTCCTGGAGCTCAAAATGTTTAAAATTAATTTCATTAATTGATTCTACCCATCCTCTAACATATATTTATTTTTATATTCTCTCTCTGAGTTACCCAGTCTCCCAAATGAGAAGTCTGGAAGTCCTTTTATATTTCTCTCTTTCACCACCAGTCTATTCCTCTGATATTTCCTGCCACCTCTCACCCAATCATACACAAAGCTCTACAGATGATTCTTCTCTTAAGTCTGGTGTCTATCTTTTTACTTAATCATGTTTCTCTTTTATGTGATCCCCACTGATTTGGAAAGCTCTACAAGGTTGAGGATTGTTCTTTATGTTTTTCTCCATTTCAACACCTAAAAGTGTATAAAACTTATTTAAAATATTTAGTGAGTTTTGTGGCAATGTACTAAATGATCTGATTCCTGGTTTTCCAGTTTCATGCCCTACTACCCTTGCATCCTATATTCCAGTCACACTGTGCAATCTACTCTTCTACCAATAGCCAAGTCTAGTCCATGTTTTCTTGTGCACAAGCTATTACTTCTCCCTGGAGTGCTCTTCACAATGCATTGCCCACCTAGAAAGTGGATCATGTCTCTAAAATGTTAGTAGAAGAATTAACGCCCCTGTGAAATTCACTTTTATTCCTCTACTGTGCGCAGATCATGCTCCAGAATACCAAGCACACTTATTTTTCTTTCTGGCACTCAACAAAACATTTCTCAGCCTCTCTTGTTGTTTGTCATCACCATAGAATGCGAGTGGAACCAAACTTTATACTCTTAGGCGTGGCCATTATTTCTTCCTGTTGTCACCCCCCTTCATACTGTTTTTCACTTTCAGATGGCTGGTTTACAAAACCTGCCAATGAGCGCTCAGGAGCTATGTGTTGAGATGGAACTGCAGTCATGTGCTGCTTAACCATGGGGACACATTCTGAGAAAAGAGTCGGTAAGTGATTTTGTTGTTATGTTAACATCATAGAGTTCGTTTACACAAACCTAGATGGTATAGACTACTACTATAATTGTGCGTGCTATATTTTTATATGACCAGCAGTGCAATAGATTTGTTTACACCAGCATCACCACAAACACCTGAATAAGTTTGTGTAAGCCCTGGTAATTTCTTTTTTGTAACACAAGTGCCTCACTTAAGCTTCAATTGCTGAGGTATCCATTTTAAAACTGGCATCTATTTCAATGAGGCATCTGCTTTAATGAAGGCTATCAAGAATAAAGGAGTTGTCAGGCCTACGACTAGATAAAGAGCCATACTGCTCTCCTACTGATACTCCTTTGTTTTAGAGATCCTGGTTGATTTAGATAACTGATCATCTGGGCTACTTTTTCTTTCTTCCTGTGCTTGAAATTCCCGCTCTTACATTTTAAAATCACCAATAAAGAGTGAGCTGGAGGGAAAGCCTAGGCCCCCACCCTCCTTCCCAATAAAAGCAGAGCCTCAGGCTCGCACACTTGCGCATGGGTGCTAGGAACACACATACTCATTCTCTCTTCCCCTCTCTTTCTCCCTTCTTCCTCTGTCTTCCTCTCTCTCTCTTCTCTCCTTTCCCCTCCCTACAAGTGATCTAGTTATGTGCCCTCCAGCGTTCTTTGCACTCTTCAGGGCTTGTAAGTAGAAAACATTTTTTTCTTCAAAGTTTCCTGGTGGTTATCACTGAAGGGCATCTTGCAATCATAATAAGAACCACAAGGGTGTCCTCCTATAGTAACATTAGTTTAGAAAAGGAAGGGGTCCGTGGGAAGCACACCAGGCGGAGGTGAGAGCCTCCAGGCATTTCTAGAGGATAGCATCACTATCCAAGGACTGAGATGGCACAAAACAGTAATGTGTACTTTTGACATTGCGATAGCTACTACTACGTCACTGGGCAATAGAACTTTTTCAGCTCCATTAAAATCTTATAAGGCCACCATTGTATATGTGGATAGTCATTGATTGAAAGGTTATTAGGTGCATTAGAGTATTGGAAAAAGGAAACCCAGGTCCCAGAGTCATTGCTTGGAGGACTGCCCAACCAGCAACTCCTGCACGGACCATTGTTAAAAGTGAGAAACAAACTTTCATGATGTTAAATCGCTGAAATTAGAGATTTTATCCATTGTAGTCACTAGTGTCATCCTAACTAATACACCTCTCATTGCATCTTGTAGCCCCATTATAACTCATAATATTAGATTGTAATTGGAGGAGACATCTATCACTCTACTAGACAATGCTTGTTCTGGAGGCTTAATCTCTATCAATATTTCCAGTATCCGACACAGAATCAGTGTTGTTTTACACACATAAATCCTAAATTTTATGGGAGAGCCACAATTTACCATATTGGCTTTTTATTAAATTAGTTTTTGGGAGGATGGTTCACAAAAAATTAGTCCTCATAAATAATTAGATTTTTTTCACACATGAAATTGTCTTGTTGGAAAACATATGAGATGTAAACAATCATATTTTCACCCAGTTACCACAGGCAGTTTCTTCGATTCAGGATAATGAATGATACTGGACATATTTTCAAATTCAAATGTAGTTTAAAATGTGTAATTTGTTATTTGTATTTTCATCAGTGGCAAGTGCAATGGTAGTTTGTGCAAATTAATGCTCACAGTATGAGTGTTTTAGTACTATTGAATAATAACAGTATGCAATTTGAAAGGTAATTCCATTATGGCAAGTTTCCTAGGAAAAACAAATGGCCTAACTGTTATAAAATTTGCAGTTATTGTTAGAAATGACAAGTTTATTAAATAACAAATACAACAGTCACTTGGCCTTTAAAAGTGAAGTTTTGAATTGGTGGTAAAAAGAGGTAGTTGCATACAATTATTTTTGTTACCTGCCTTTTTTTT